TTAAGAGAGACTATACTGTATGATATTTAAATTATTATTTTCTTTATTTTTTTAGTTCAAGGAAGACTCTTACAAAGGTTCTAGAGCTGATTATGTATCGACTGATTTATTTGACGATCAGCATCACTTCTTATTGGACAATTTAGTAAACCACACCCACTCGACCCCGCCCCCTTCAGCCTCCAACACAAACCAGCAACAAACAGTAAGTTAATTAAATATTTATTTATTTTTTTATTTTTATTATTTCCAGAAGGAGAATGGTGTGACTCCATTAATGGATGATGCTACTCAAGAAAAAACTGAAACTGATGATAAGAAGATTTTAGGATCAAGGTATTATTAATAATAATTCTTACATGTACATATATATATATATATTGTATCATTACTCCTCCTCCTCTCTCTCCTTCAGTGTCCATTCTCATACCAGTACATCTTCTGGTTCCGTTACATTTGATGAGAGTTCATATGAAGGACAGTTGATACTACACAGAGAGTTCCTGGAGATTGTTTATTATCTGTGCTCTGATGTTAGCCTTAGGAAGAATGTACACCATCTTAACCTGTTAGTGGAGGACACTCTCTTTCTTTATCATTAAACCTTCTCTCTCTTTCCCTCTCTCTCTCTCTCTCCCTCTCTCTCCCTCCCTCCCTCTCTCTCTCCCCCCCCCTCTCTCTCTCTCTCTCAGGTTGTGTAATAAGTTCCCTTGTCTCTCCCAAGACTCCTCCCTCTACTGGAAGACAATGACGTTACTCTCATTATTTCATTATACTCAGACCAACAGGAGATTAATACAGTCTAAATTTGACGGACTCACTTTTGACGAAGTAATAATAATATAATTCTAGATCTAAAATACTAAAATCACTGCCTGCACAATATAAGCATACGCTATTATTAAATGTTGACTGTAGTTGTTACCATTAGTTCAAGATTTCTTGTCATTTCTTTCCTTCAGATATTCTCCACTACCAGACAGTATTACCAAACACACGAGCTCTTGAAGGACCCGCCCAGTTCCCCTACAGGCCAGGCCCCCTCAGCCGACTCCGATACCACATGCAACCGAAGACGAAACAGCACCGGGGAGATACTCAAAACCAAACCAGCAGACCACACCTCCTTAATGAGGGTGGGTTCGTCTCATTCCGAAGAGAAGCTAGACACTAAGTCCATAGCAACGACGACCACTGCTAGTGAAATGGATACCCTTTCAGAGGGAAGCCTTACTAGTAATGAGATGCTGGAGTGGGAGGGGGAAGGAGGGGAAGGGGGTGGGGTCAAGGACGAGGGAGAGAGGGTGAGGGAGGATCAGATCCCGTCTTTGGCTGAAGCAGGGAACAGGTTGAGTCAGTTGGAACTTGACGTGGGGACCTCCTCTAGCATGCCTCCCTCTATTGTGGAGGTGGTCATTGATCTATGAATAATTGATTAGTTATTGATTAATTGATTGTTAATTAATTAGTGATTAATTGTTTTTGTATGCGTGTGTATAACCTTCATTTTATTTCATTTTTCATTAACTTTTTGACTGTTTTTTATTTAGCTATTTTCTGACAATTTTGACTAATTTTTTGTTCCATTGTTATAGTTACTGCTTTTTTAATTTTAAGACAATTTTGTATTAAAAATGTTGTAATAATATTCTTTTTAGTACAGGATCTTTCGCTAAATTTTAGAGCAACCTTTAAAATTTTGTAGACGGTTTTCTGTATTTAAAAATTATTTGCATACTTTAAAACATAAAAACAATATTAATAATAATTAATAAATGTTGTGGTTTAAGCTATTCTTATTTGTTCGCCTCCAATCTCTTATCTCTCTCTATGACTGAGTCTTCAAAAGTTATTTCAAAAGCTGTCGTAGTCTGTTCCTTAACTAAGAAAGCCTTCACTCTACAAGGCTAGGGGGAGAGAGAAAGATTCATTACAATAGGTATACTTTATTTCACAGCTTTTAAGGTAAATATTGTCACCTATTTTGAGGTGAAAATTACCATTAATCATCAATTGTACCTAGCCACACCCAGTGAAAACCACACCCACCACTCACAAATTGTACTCCACAAAGAAATGCTTCCACAGTCCCAGCCATAAAGGCAGCACAATTGAAGCTGCTCTGCTCCTTTGGTACTGAAACAAATTTATTAACTAGCGGCTCATCTTCAAATAAATAATCTATAAAATAACAACAACAACAACAACAACAATAATAATAATAATAATAATAATAATAATAATAATAATAATAATAATATTTACAAGTTGCTTCAGTTGCTGTAGCCTGCTCAAGCCGATCAGCTTCTTTACCAAACAAAGTCTGGAAGGAGAAGCAGAAATAAAGTTTTAAAGTTACTTTATATGCATAAAGGATCTCCTCACCTTCCAGACTGTCTTCTGTATGAACCACAAAATGTTGACGATTCTCGTTTCTCTTTTCGGAGCTCTGTCCCTCACACACAACAAATCAATCATCCTGAAACCAACATGACGTCCTAAATCAGCCAATCTTGAAGGAAAGAAGAAAAGAGAGAGAAAAGAAATGATGCTGATATAGTTATAAACTAACTTTTCATGAAGCTGGGCTAATGAGGTAACCCTCTGCTGGTTGTACTGAACCACTTCAGAGAACAAGAAGGCAAAAGTACTGATATTAACCTGAGGGGGAGAGAGAGAGGGGAGAAAGAGATAGGGAGATACAGTATAAAGTTTAAAGTTGGCTATAGAGCATGCAAACTTCTGGTTTGGACTTTGATGGTAAGGATTTGTCGAAAACTGTCTCATTTGCTTTCTGCCTCCTAACGGCCGCCATCTTGAAATACTAAAGGGTTAAAAATTATGGAGAGTGACGTCATCAAGAAGGAATGCAACCTTATGAAAACAACCTATCATAACTAAGAACATGCTACCAGAAATGAAATAAAAATGGAGAATTCTCACCTTTTTATTTTTGGTAAAATTTGGCCCGAGACCATGCACTACAGTACAGGGCCTGATTTTGGAGCAACTTAAAAAATTCATAAAAAATCTAATTTTAATCTGGAATCAGCTTAAGCTTTCTACACAACATAAAAATACGTATATGCATCAGGGAATGTTATA